TCACCGCGCCGCACCGCCCACCCCCGTCGCCCGGGAAACGCTGAACGCGTCGGAGCACCCTGCTCACCGCGGCCGCCTGGGATGCACGCGCAGGAGCCGAACCTTTCCTGGACTCGCCCCGGTGCTCTTCCCACGGGCCCCCCTTCCCTGTTCTAGAACGTTGTCTGGAGTCAGGGTCTTTGCAGAAGAAGAGACAGAGAAACAAAAGGAAAGGCCATGCGACCGTGGAGGCAGACATTGGAGTTTTGTGGCCACAGCCAAGGAAAGCTGATGATTGATGGCGACCACCAGAAGCAGAGAGGCAAGGAGCCCTAGGACTGGGAGAGAATAGCTGTTGTTATGGTAACTTATGGCCGTCCTAGAAAACTCGGAGCGCATGAGAGTCAGCTACCCGATCGAAGGCTGGCAGGGCCCGCCGGGCGGGCCGGAGTGTCTGCGAGGTTCTACCGCTCATGCATCTGATACTGAACTCCAGACCGGGGGTCCGCTCTTCTCTCTGATAAGTCACATGATTTAAGTTGGTTTCCAGCAGAGACCGTCTCGGGAATGGCAACATCCCCACCGAGGGACTAATGTCCGAAAGAAGGACGAATCTCTGTGATGTTTTTCTTTCGTCACTAGATTCGGCGGACTGTGCGGGTGATGCTGACTTTAACTGGCGGCGCCCACACTGCCCTGCTCCTCCTGGGGACACACCGGGGGCGGTGCTGGGGCGCAGGAACGCACCCCCGTAGCTCTCCCACACAAGCAAGCACCCCGGAAGGAAAACGGAGAGTGACGAGCTTCCGTAAGAGGCGTAACCTTGAACATGCACACACTGGGTTTCTTGACTTTGACCTGTCATCCACGCAGGATGCGGGACGCGGGGCTGATCCTATGCTTTCCTACGTGCACCGCCTCCAGCCGCTCCGGCTCAGCTCCGACCACGCTTCTCCGAGGCACCAACACGCCTGGAGCGGATCCCGCGGAACAAAGCACAGCTTGGAACCAGCCGCGGACTCCTGCCCGGAGCGGAAGC